GGGGAAGCCAGACTAGCCTGCGTCTCTAGACTCCCTTCGAGGGGTCTCCCTGCTCCTAGACACATCCTTCTCTTGGATTCTGACATGTCCTCTCATTTTCCTTTACCCTGCTGAGCACTGCTACATCCTTGGCTGACTCATCCTCTTTCCAGTGCTGGCCTGTCCCAGTCCTCCTCTGGAATGTGGGCCTCCACCCAGCCCTCTCCAAAACTGCCACCTCCACCCCTCACCTCTCCCCTAGCTTCAGTGGCCTGCTTGCCATTCTCACCCGGATGTCTAAGTTTCTCTTAGAACAATGCTAAAGTCCATCTAATAGAGACCCCAAATGAGAGTAGTTTAAAAAGATTCAGTTGATTGTTCACTCCTGTAATCGTTCCAAGGGAAGTGTGTCAGGTTGGTAGATAGCTCAGCTCCACGTGGTCATTTAGGGACTCGGACTAATGACGGTGCTGCTGTCTTTAACATGACAGTTCCAGAACCTGGCTGGTTATTGCTCTTCCAGCCAGCGTGAGGGGAAAAACATGGAAGTCTAGGGCAGGGATTTCTTCTTAACTGAGTGAGGCAGAAGTTGAGCATACCACTTCTCACATTCCACAGGTGAGAGTGTAGACACGCGGCCTCCTAGCTGCAAGGGGAGTTGGGACATGCCCCAGCTGGGTGGATAGCTAGCCATCTCTGTCAGTCTGTCCTCTAGAACACTGAGGACTTGCCTGCTGTGGCAGCTGAGGAGGTTCTCTGGGGGTGTCCCCTTATTCTGTGTCTCCCTGACCTTGGCTTTGCCCTTCAACATTGGTTGTCTGTCATTCTCCACAGCAACCGACAGGGTGTTGAGAGTCTACCCTCCTCGGATGCGGATTGGGCTCGAGCCACCATGGGCTTTTGCAGTCCAGCCTTGCAATTTCGTTGGTGATAACAATTCCTTCAAAAACTTAGCAGGCTTCAGGTCTTTCGTCAGTTCCTTGAGCCATGACGACATCTGAAGTTCCTTTCTTGACAGTGTTATCAAGTCTATCTTCCACACCCTTCTCTTTCCCATTCCTTTAAAATGAAAGTGCTGGGGCGTGGTGTCTCATGCCTGTAATCCCAGACCTTTGGGAGGCTGAGGCAGGTGGATCACTTGAGGCCAGGAGTTTGAGACCAGCCTGGCCAACATAGTGAAACCCTGTCTCTACAAAAAATACAAAAATTAATCGGGCGTGGATTACAGGTACATGCCTGTAATCCCAGCTGCTCCGGAGGCTGAGGTGGAAGAATTGCTTGAACCCAGGAGGTGGAGGTTGCAGTGAACCGAGATTGCACCACTGCACTCCAGCCTGTGTGACAGAGCAAGGCTCCATCTCAAAAATAAAAATACAAATACAAATAAAAAATAAAATAATAATAAATAAAATGAAGGTTATGCTAAGGACATCTTAAATAAGACTTGGATAACAAGGTAATACTGTTAATATAATACTTTGCCATGGGGGCGATTTCTTTGTTTGGTTTAAAGTTTGGCCTAAGAGACGGGCTTTGAGAGAGGCTCTGAGCCATGATAGTCTGACCTCCTGCTCTTTGGACAAAACCAGTGGCTTTTCCAACCCCAAGGACACCAGTTTTCTGAATTCTCTGTATTTCTCTCTCTTCTTGCAAACTGGCCAATCTCTGTCTTATATGATTTTGCTAAAAGCAGCATCAAGCAGCCAACACATGCAAATGGCTTTGGCCCTTTCCAACCATTTTTCTAGAATTATAGGCTCAATAGGCATGTGGGCTGCCTTCCAAATGATCACAGGTGACGTTTGCAATAAATGTTTTGTCCCAGCATAACAAGGTTCACCAGCTTCTCATCCTCTATTGTCTGTTTCCGTCTTGCTCCCCACCTATTGGCTAAGCCAGTGCCACACATTTGAGGGGTTTTATGTGTGGCAGTTTCCCACTCCTGGTATGAATTTCTATAAGGAGCTACAAAATACAGCGGTTTTACGATTATAGAAATTGGTTTTTCTCTCATGTAATGTAGTTCTGATGTGATCATTTCAGGCCGTGCTCAGGTGGGTGGTGGGTTTTGATAAGCATTCAGCAGACTCCACAATGGCCCCCCCACCCTTCTCTTCCCCAACACATTCGCCTGTGTATCAGTGGCACCACCATCACACACTTGCTCAAGCAAATACATAGAAGTCAATTTATTTTTCTTATTTTTTAAGACAGGATTTCACTCTGTGACTCAGGCTGGAAGGCAGTGGTGAAACCTTCGTTCACTGCAACGTCCACCTCCCAGGTTCAAGTGATTCTCATGCTTCAGCCTGAGACGCTGGGATTACAGGTGCACATCACCACACCTGGCTAATTTTTGTATTTTTTAGCTGAGACGGGTTTCACCACGTTGTCCAGGCTAGTCGTGAACTCCTCACCTTAAGCAATCCATTTGCCTTGTCCTCCCAAAGTGCTGGGATTACAGGCATGAGCCACCATGCCCAGCCAGAGGTCAACCTTGATCCCTCCCCAACCTGCAGTTCCCATCTAATCCATCAGCAAGTTCTCTCAATTCTATCTTCAGGGAAATCCCAAAAGTGACCATTTCCTACATCACCACTGCCTCTACCCTAATCCAAGCTTTCAGTGTATTGTGGGGTCATGTAATATTCTTCCAAGTGAGCTCCCCGCTTCTCTCCCAGCTTCTCTTCACACAACAGCCAGAGTATTATTATTATTATTTTATAGAGACTGGGTCTCACGATGTTGCCCAGGCTGGTCTCCAACTCCTGGGCTCCAACTGTGGCTTCCCAAAGTGTCAGGATGGGTGTAAGCCACCGTGCCTAGGCTCCAGAATGGGTTTTGAAAAACATAAATGGGAGCAAGCATTACAATGCCTTACTATTGCCCTTAGAATGAAATTCTATTTTTGTAACCTGCCGCTAAGGCCTCAAGTGACTGTCCCCTCTTCCAATTCCCTTCTCTCACTCTGCTTTAGCCAGCAAGCTTCTGTGCTGTTCCTCAAACATGCCAACCTTATTTTTGCCTTAGTATCTTTGCACTAAGACTCCCTCTGCCCAGACACTTTCTTCCCACCTTGTCACATGGCTGGTTCTGTCTTTGTCCATCTCAGGGCAAACCACTGTAGTGTAGTGGGTAAGAGTGAGGGCTCAGGAGCCATGTTTCTGGGGTTTGAATCTCCGCCCTGCAACTTCCTGCTGTGGGACCTTGGGGCAAGTTTTCTTAGCTTCTCTGTGCCTTGGTTTTTCTACCTGTAAATGGCGATAAGAAATGTATGGTACTTGTTACCGAGGGTTGTTGGGAGGATTAAATAAAATAGCAAACACATTAAGCGAGTTTATACATATGAAAAGTAAAAAGTTCCTTTTCAAAGTTTACCTTTTTGTTAAAGAATAAATAATAAGTGTTAAAAATAATAGTTTCTTTTAAAAAGTAGCTTCCTTGTTTTTTGCTAATAACTTTTTGTTAAGCCCTATGTAGCTGTTAAATATAGCAAGGGAATAAGTACATTCTATGTCCTTGTACTGTAACCAAGTTATTTGCTCTGACCTATAGCCTGCTCAGACATGTCCGAACATGCCCAGGAATTTCCTAGCTTATAGCCTTTGCCTCTTCCTTATTTGGAAATGTTATTATTCTCCTAGTTTCCCGTAAACAACCCCTTCCTTTCTTTGTTCTCCATCATGCATCTATCTAGTTAGGAAAGTTTTTAGCCAATCAGGATCAGTCTTGATTGTGTGGTCCAGCTCCAGCCAATGGAGATGGGATGCAGCAGTAAGGACCCAATGCCTCAGGGATAAGAACTTCTGCTTTTCTTTGTTTGATGTGCTCTTGTGGTAGTCAGACTTCGGAGAAGCACCCTTTCTGCAGAAAGTAAAATTGCCTTGCTGAGAAAGAGAAAAGGTCTTTGTCTAAGCTCTGGTTCTTGTTTTTGACACCAAGGAATAAGCATTGGTGCCCAACAATGCATAAAAAGTGCACAGAGCATGGCCATACTAAGCCCTTAGTGTGTTATTATTGCCCTTCTGGTGGCAGCTTAAATATCCAGGCTCTGAGCAGCATTTCCTGGCCCCATGCTCTAAATGCATCTGCAGCTCATCGCCCTACCTTATTTCACCACAGCACATGTTCTTGTTCATGTATCATCTGTCTCTCCCCACAACACGCCACTCCCACTAGAATGCAACTTTCATGAGGGCAGGGACTGTACCTTTCTTGTTCACTTCCATGCCTTTCCTGAGAAGGAAAGTAAGTTCTCAGTAAATATCTGTTGAGTGGATACGGAAAGGACAGAGGCCAAATCCCACCAACGCTTCCTTTTTGGGTGGCCCTGTGAGCCCTGCTGGTTGCCTGTCAGTGCCCTGCCTTTCAAGCCCCAGGTGGCCATGGTCAGGCTCACAGTTTCCTCTTGGGAGTTTCAGGGGCTGCCCCGTGGACCTGCTCTTGGAGACCTTGGGGGCACTGATGAGATTTAGCCCCTCAGCAGGGGCTGTCAGAGCATAGACTCTGGAGTCCAGCCCATCTGTTTCTGTCAGCTACTAGCAGACCAGTTACTTATCCCCCTGTGTGCCTCCATTTTCCCCTATGTAAAAAATGAGAGAATACCAATTACCTTATAGGGCTACTGCTGTGAAGATGAAACAGGATATGTAAAACAGAGCTCATGGTTGGCTTGGAGTAAAGCTCTCCAGATGGTAGCTATTATTATTATTGTTGTTGTTGTTAGTGCCATATCCAAAATACACTCTTTAGAGCATGAATGGGGGTGCCCGAGGGACTTGGGTGTGGGAGTGAGGAGGCGAACATAAAGAAGACATCTAGGGAAGGGAAGAACCGGAATGGAATAATCGAAGTGTGTTTGCATTCGTGAGTGCGAGCCGCGGGGTGTGTGTGTGTGTGTGTGTGTGTGTGTGTGTGTATGTGTGTGTGTCTGCCTGCGGAGGAGGGTGGCAAGGATCTAGAGAAGGAGCCTGCCCCTTCCTCCGAGCTCAGCTCTGGGGAGCCGGGCGCTCAGGCTCACCATGCTGCAAAGAGAGCTGGGAGCTGCCTTGCGCCCCGCGCAGAACGGGTGGCAGAATAACCAGCGCCTCGAGTGTGTGCCTCTGGGACCAGGGGGCGGGGGAGCGGGACCTGCGCTCCACGGCCACCTCTGTTGGTGCAGACTTGGGGGTCCCAGAGGGGACAGCGTCCGCCCAGTCCCGGCGATCGAGGGTCCCTGCCCCGGCGCAGCTAGGGCCGGCCGCGTGCTCAGGGGCCGCGGCTTCTTCCGGAACCCCCGCGGGCGGGGCCTGCCTTCCGGAGCCGGGTTGGCGGGGGGGGGGGCGGAGGGCGGCGCCGGGGAAGGGGCAGTTACTTTCCCAGAGTGGCGGGGCGACGTCAGGCGGAAGGGCGCGGGGCGCGCACGCTTTAAATGGCATTCGCTGTCATCCGAGCTCACAGCAGTGTGGGCAGCCGCGGGCTATATAAGCAGCGAGTCGGGCCGCCGCGGGGCAGACGGCGACAGCAGCGGCGGCGAGCGCTTCGGAGCGCGGCGGAACAGCGCGCCGCGAGCCCCGCGCCCCCCGACGGGCCCGCCTGCCCGTCAGCCGTCCCAAGCAGCGCCGGCCCGGGCCCGCGAGGGCCGCCGCCACCCCGCAGCAGATTTGGATCCCCCGCCCGGCGAGCCCCCGGCTGCTGCCTCCCGGGGGGCCCCGGTGCAGCGGCCGCCCCCCGAGAGCCCCGGCGCCCCGCAGCCCGGCCCCGCAGACGCCGGAGGCGCCATGGCCTCCAAGCCCGGCGAGCTGATGGGCATCTGCTCCAGCTACCAGGCGGTGATGCCGCACTTCGTGTGCCTGGCCGACGAGTTCCCGCAGCCCGTGCGGCCCGCCAAGCTGTCTAAAGGCCGGGGCCGGCTGCGGCGGCCGCGCCAGTCTCGCTTCAAGACGCAGCCGGTGACCTTCGACGAGATCCAGGAGGTGGAGGAGGAGGGGGTGTCCCCCATGGAGGAGGAGAAGGCCAAGAAGTCGTTCCTGCAGAGCCTGGAGTGCCTGCGCCGCAGCACGCAGAGCCTGTCGCTGCAGCGGGAGCAGCTCAGCAGCTGCAAACTGAGGAACAGCCTGGACTCCAGCGACTCCGACTCGGCCCTGTGAAGGGTGCCGCCTGCAGGGGGAACGCGCGCGTCCGCCGTCCGCGCGGGGACCGACGTGCTAATCCCGAGAGGGCCCGCATCCTGCCCTCGGGGGACCCCCAAGGACCGGGGACTGCCGCCCCTCGCGCGCTCGGACTTCCGCCCCGCTGCGAACTGGTCGGTGCGCCCCTAGCCGCGCTCGCCCTTGCCCGGGGGCGCCGGGAGCGGGGCCGCTTTCCTTGCCCTTGTAAATGTTTATTTTTTAACTCTTCCCAGTGCGAACTCTGCTGTGAGTGTGTGCGGGAAGGCGCACCCGCGCTGAGTCGGCCGCGGGTTGCCCGAGTCGCCGCTCCACGTCCTTGTCCGAAGGTTTGCAACTCCGATTTTGCACACCGCTCCACCCTGCTCCCCAGCGCACACGCGTTCACACTCACGCCAACACTCTCGCTGAACACTTTTATAATGTTAGGTGCGGCCGTTGGGACTTGGGGCGCAGCGCAGCTGCTGCTGCTGCGGCCGGAGGATTGATATTTATTTTTGCATTGCGATGGCTGAAGGCGTTTATTTAACGATCTTTTTACCTGGATATGTCTGTGAGGCTCCTGAACGGAGACAAATAAAGTCAATATATTTGCACAGTGCATTTCTTCAGGCTCTTGACTTTTTGAACCTTCGGGGCCGAGGCTCACAGACTCGGGGAAGTCGGGGAGGGGGTGGCAGGGGGATGCCGGGCAAGGGAGCCGGGTGTGGAGCGACCTCCACAAGCTTCGGTCGAACGAGGTCGCGCCCCCGGTGCGTGGATCGGTTGCCTGCCTCCCCAAGAGAATCCACCCCGGATCCAGAGCGCTCCTGCCTCCCTGCTCTGTTCCCCATCGCCAGCATCCGGGTTGGAGTGAAGCCGCAGGCGGGGCGGAGGCGGCGCTGAGGATGGGGAGCTGTCTCCTCCGTTCAGTTGACTTCCCCAGGCTGGGGTCAGGGTCCTCACCCCGCATCCGCCGCAGAAGACGCACCACCCTCTGCGCTCACTCCTGGCGGCGGATGGGGAGATGCCGGAGCCAACAATGCGAGATGTCTGGGCGTTGGGACTCGAGAGAGGGCCGGGGGTCAGGTTGGGCTGGTCGAGACTGTGGGTGCGCGCTCGCTGTCGCGGGCAGGTGACCCCCTGACCGCAGCTGACTCAGCGCAGTGCCTGGCGCTCCCGCGCTGCGGGGGAAACCTTGGCCGCTACGTCTCCAGCCCTTCTCCTCTGCGCCCCGCAGGGTTCCTCCAGGAGGGTGAGGCATGTCTTTGGTTAGAGCCTGAAGGGCACCTGGGTACCACGGAGTCCTTCCCTTCTCCTCGCCCCTGCCTTTGTTTACAGATGAGAAAACAAGCCCAGGGTCACAGGGAGAGGAGCGCCCCCGGTCCTCGGGACTCCGGGTGCAGGACTCCTTGCACCGCAGGAGGTTTTCTTTCCAGTGCCCTTCAGCCACTGCCCGAATCCCTGTCTACCTCCTAAATCCTCTGAATTAGCAGTGTGGCCGGGCCACCTGGCCGCAGATGGCCACCAGGGTAACAAGCTACGTTTGGTTGAACAGGGCAGGTCCCCACTCTGAGGCCCTCTCCCAGCCCCTTCGTCCAGGATTACTCCAGGGCTGACCCGCCCTGAGGCGTTTAGGGCTCCTGCTCTTGTTGCAGCGTCTCTGTGCTCTGGCGCCCTCTGGTGGCGGGGCTGGTGTGTGTGTTTGGGGTGGGCAGGAATCTCCTTAGGAGATACCCATTCTCTTAGCTGCGGGCTTAGCTCTGGAGAATAGGACAGCAGAGGAAATGACACAAAGAAACAAAAATAGAACCACAGGGCCGGAGGGGATTTCTTCTCTCGGCTCAGAGAGAGCACAGGCCATGGTCTTGGTGGCTGTGGTATTTGGCCCGTGTCCCAGCCCCTGAGAACACACTGGCCGTGGCAGTCCCAATGACGAGTTCCATTGTGGTGGGGTGTCATGGCAGGAGACCCTTCCTTGCCTGCAAAGGTCTCAGAGATGTGAAGCCACGGTGCGTCTATGCTGTATTCCAGCCAGGGCAGCTACCACCCCTGGACTAGTTTGAGCTCGCCTGGGTGGAAGGAACCTCCTCTGAACCCAGCCTCATTCTCCTCTCTCCAAAGTGACTCCCTGAGGGCAGAGGGGAGGACCCCACATCCCACGCCCCCTCTTGTCTTACCTTTTCAGCAGCAGCTCCTTTTCAGGAGTCAGATGCCCCAAGTGTCTGGAAGACCTCCCAGTGGGCTTCTAGACCCTCAGGCCTGAGATCCTCCCCTCTGCGCAGCCTTCTCCCACGGAAGAACCTCCTTTTCAGCCAGGCAGTGGCTCACGCCTGTAATCCTAGTACTTTGGGAGGCCGAGGCGGGCAGATTGCTTGAGCCCAGGAGTTTGAGACCAGCCTGGGCAACATGGTGAAATCCTATCTCTACAAAAAATACAAAAAATTAGCTGGGCATGGTGGTGCACACAAACAAAAAGAACCTCCTCTAGTTGCCTTCAGCCCCTACCCGAAGGGTCTTCTTGGGCTACCCCAGCCAACAACAGAGGTTACTGTGGGGACCATATCCCATCACTTTGATTCCCTGCTGAGCTGTGGGCAGCCCCAGCACTGAGTAGGTGCTTCTGAAATGTTAGGGTTGAAATGAATAAAGAGCTGGTGAGGAAGGTCCATTCTCGTCTTGCCTATTTCCAGGTTTTTTTGTTTGTTTGTTTTGAAATGAAGTCTCACTTTGTCACTCAGCCTGGAGTGCAGAGACACGATCTCAGCTCACGGCAACCTCTGCCTCCTGGGTTCAAGTGATGCCCCTGCCCCAGCCTCCCAAGTCGCTGAGATCACAGGCACGTGCCACCTCACTCGGCTAATTTTTGTAGTTGCAGTAGAGATCGGTTTTCCCATGCTGGCCAGGCCGCTCTGGAACACCTGACCTCGAGTGATCCGCCTGCCTCAGCCTCCCAAAGTGTTGTGATTACAGGCGTGAGCCACCACACCCAGCCCTGGTTTGTTTTTTAAGTTAGCCTTGTAATTTTTCATTGCCTTAGAAATACTTGTTTGTTATAATACAAAACAAGCCACTCTGACTCCTGCCAGCCAGAGATAAACAAGTTAACATTGAGGACGTGATGCCTGTATGTGCATGTTTATTTTCTTTTACAAAATGAGTTTATATTCTATATGCTATTTTTCAACCTGCTTTTTTAATTAATTGGATTTGCGTTTAATATCAGTATGCATCGATCTACATCATAGCTTTTCATAGTTCTATTGAATAGAATATTCCACATTTAATTAAGTGAATGTGCCACTATTTAGTATAAAAGTGATGTCTTATTTGTCCTAGTTCCTTGGTTTTACCAGAAACTGGCGGTGCTAAGGGTTGATATGGAAAGCAATCTGATAGAAGCCGTGACCCAGAGAGGCAGGGGGCGGGAGTGTGGGATGCTGCAGTATCAGGGGCCTGGAAGGTCATGGCCCCTGGGCCACGTGGGGATTTCTCTCCAGTTCTGAACATCTTTGTCTTGCACCTAGGAAGATGGGCAGACTGGAGGGTAGGGAGCTTGTGTTGGTCCGTTCTGTATTGTTATAAGGGAAGACCTGAGGTGGGTAATTTGTAAAGGAAAGAGGTTTATTTGGCTCACAGTTCTGCAGGCTGTACAAGCATGGCACCAGCATGTTGTTGTGGTGAGGCCTCGAGAAGCTTCCACTCATGATGGCAGGTGGAAGGGGAGCAGGCATGTCACATGGGAAGAGAGGGAACAAGAGGGAGGCCAGGGCTTTTTAAGCAACCAGCTCTCCTGTGAACCATCAGAGTGAGAACTCACATATCACCGTGGGAAGGGCACCAAGCCCTTCATGAGGGATCCACCCTTATGACCCAAACACTTCCGACCAGGCCCCGCCTCCAATATTGGGGTCACATTTCAACATGAGATTCGTAGGGAATCAACATCCACACCATATCAGAGCTCTTACCAGGCGCCTCTGGAACTGCAGGGGCTCAGCTCCTCCCTATGCTCACAGGGACTCCAAGGTGGCACACAGCTCCAAGGAGAGACAGGCTGGGGCCGGCTGGGCTGGGCTGGGCCAAGCCAAATAGAAGAAGAGGGAAGAGTGGGTGAGACATACAATGAAGGAGCAAGAGAGAGCAAGAGTCAGAGAGGTGGAGAGGAATGAGGTCCCTCAGGGAGACAGGGAAACTCAGCAGCACAGAGAGAAGGTAATGGAAAGAGAAAGAGATACAGGGAAATAGGATCAGGAGCCAGAGGATGTCAGATGTGGAGAGACAGAAGAATAAAGGCCACCCTTGGAGATGGAGAGACACTGAGACAGCAAGAGAGAGAGAAAGGAGGGAAGGGGAATAGGGAGAAGTGCCTCTGGATACTGGGGATCAGAGGAGAGAGAAGACAGGAGCCAGGGCGTCTGAGGAGTTGTGGAGCAGGCATGGGCCTGGGTGGGTGGACGTCTGCCCAGCCGGCTGGATTTATAAGCCTGTCCAAGGTGACGCCTGTGTCCTTCCCTCCCTGCCTGGGCCTCAGCCTGCAGTCCGAGCCTGGGTGATGAGTTTTCAAACAGGCTGGAGCCCAGACCAGGCAGCGGTAACAAGTGGCCATCCCAGATCTGGCCGACAGCCAGCTAAACATTTCTCTCTGGCCCTGGGGGAGATGTTTCGCAGAGTTCCTTTTGCTGATTTAAAACTAGCTTGACTTTTGCAGCCCGCTGTGTGCCAGGGCCCCCAAGGGAAGGGCTGTCCATGATCCCAGGAACTGAGGTCAGCTGTGGACTTGGGAGTCCTTCCTCCTGAAGCACATTTGGGGTAGGTCTTAGGCCTTTTGGCCGCTGGAAAAATAGCAGAGGGGATAAAGGCCACCATTCACTGAGCACCTCCGGTCAGCAATCTACTTTCATCCCCGTCAAGTTTCTCAGCCTTTTTACAGGTGAGAAAACTGAGGCTCAGAGGGGTTAAGTTTCTTGACCAATGCTACACAGGTAGTCGGGGTGAGCTAGGTTGCAAACTCAACCTAGCTTTATTTATTTATTTATTTGAGACAGGGTCTCCCTCTGTCACCCAGGCTGGAGTGCAGTGAAGCAATCTTGGCTCACCACAACCTCCGCTTCCCAGGTTCAAGTGATCCTCCCACCTCAGCCTCCCAAGTAGCTAGGACTATAGGCATGCACCACCATAGTAGACTATTTTTCTAATTTTTTGTAGAGATGGGGTCTCCCTAAATGGCCCAGGCTAGCCTTGAACTCCTGAGCTCAAGCAGCCCTCTCACGTCAGCCTCCCGAAGTGCTGAGATTACAGGTGTGAGCTCCTTCTCACTGTAACCAGCTGTGGCACAGCCATGAGACCGGCCTTGGCAGCTCTCCTGCTACAGGGAGTGTAACTGACCAGCAGGCACTCTGGATTTGAATCCATTGCCTTCTTTGGCTGAGGCTGAACCTGTCTAGGGGCTGCTCCCTCCCAACCTGTGCATAGCTGGCGTACTAAGGCAGAATGGTGCTTGGGCGATACGAGATTTCTTTGTTGTGGTCTTTGGTTCAGAGATTCCGTAATGGCTCTGGTGAAGCTGTTTGAGCCTGAGGCGCGTTTTATGGACTAAATTGTGTATTCGTGAAAGGCTGA